TGTATTTTTTGTGTTTTTAAGTACTTTAAATATATTTGAAATGTTTATTGTCCTAAAATCAAGTTATGATGATTAAACTTTTAGGCCCCGTTTGATAGGCGTTATTTTTTCAGAGAACTAGAAAAATATTTTTCACTTTCCATTTTTTTGGATGTTTGATAGGCAAAATTTTTCAGGGAAAATGGATTTTTTGTGTTTTTAAGTACTTTAAATATATTTGAAATGTTTATTGTCCTAAAATCAAGTTATGATGATTAAACTTTTAGGCCCCGTTTGATAGGCGTTATTTTTTCAGAGAACTAGAAAAATATTTTCCACTTTCCATTTTTTTGGATGTTTGATAGGCAAAATTTTTCAGGGAAAATATTTTTCGAGTTTCGCCCCACACGTGTGCATTTTTCGGGTTTTTGATGAAAATAGTGGGAAAAATTTTCTAGGCTGGCTGCAAATGTTTTTTTTTGTGAAATGGAAACAAATGTTATAACCACTGGTAAAAAAAAAATTTCACTTTAATAGACAATTTTCATGTAAAATAAAGTCAAACGAACACTAAATTTTGATTAAAAAAATGATTTTTTAGGAAGTAATTTTTTTTCCTTTTTTTTTTTTTTTACTTTTTTGAAACAATTTTTTTTTTCGTTTTTTTTTTAACTTTTTAGCAATGGAAACAAATTTTATAACCAATTATGGAAAAAATTATCACTTTAATGGACAATTTCCATGTAAAATAAAGCCAAACGAACAGAAAATTTAAAAATTTTCCGGGTGGAAAATTATACCAATCAAACACACTTAATTAACAATTCCATGCAAAATATTTTCTAGGCAATTATTTTCCTTGTAAATCATTTTTTCCACCATTGCAATCAAATGCACCCTTAGGATAATTCATTTCCTAAAATTAAGAATACTGCTGATTTGTTAATTTGTGAGCACCTTTTGTTTAGTAAACTCTTTAACAATGGCAACGGTATGTTATGGAGTGTATTGAGTTTAATTTGTTAGTCTTTCTAATCAACTAGCAGAACAAGGATCGATGGCAAATTTTGTGTGAGGAAAATAGATTACTAGGAAAACATTTGTGCGTTTACCTTTAGGAAATAGTTGTTTAGTTCAATTCTTAAATAAATTTTGGCATGAGATCATTTCAATCACTTTCAGAGTGGTATCTCATGATCTTTTAACATAAAAAACCCTTTGAAACATCTAGTTGTGTACTCAAATGCTTTGCAGGTAACTCTGAATTTTGAACTACACATGCTGGCTAACCATATTTTCTTTTACATAGTTGAGTGAGTATTTAGACTGTATAGAAAATCAGAGAGTGTGTTATATATGGGAAGTCAAAAAATAAAAATTAAGAATTATTCGGCCACATGGCATATCTCAACACGATAGAAAGAGAAATGCTATTCATCCCCACTAGGAATGCATTCACAGTCTATATGGTGTTAATGTGGTATTAAATGATAGGTGAAATTAAATAAGTCATTTAATTTCATCTATCATTTAACCAATCATTTACATCCACATAAATTGGGGATACATCCCCACTGGGGATGAATAGCATTTTTCCGATAGAAAATGATTGTTGTAACCAAAGGTGGATTTAGTCCTATAGCCAAGGGATGAAATGGCGGTACATGGCCAGTGGACCCGGTCTCCTTTTTCACGAAGGCCTTTGACCAAATTTAAGTAGAAAAAAAAGAGTAAAAAATTAAAGGAATGAGATACCTATTTTACCTCTATTTTGAACGTTCTTATCATTTCTTGTTCTTCAAGGTTTTTTCATCCATCTCCATATTCAGGGTTTCTTCCTATTATTTGGTTAAATTCGAATATTTTTTGCTTATAATATTGATGGATAATGTGTTTTTAACTTTAATATTCAAAGATTTAAACAAAAAATCTTTTATCATGTTTAAAAATCC